CTGCTCCCCCGCCGACGCCATACGGCCGTGTGCGAGCCGTGGCTCATGTGTGTTTCGGTAGTTGTCCCTTCTTGTCCCGTGTCGTAAAACGGGGTCCCGCGATGTCCGGTGTGTGGGCTCACGCAATGGGGCCCGGCTTTCGATCCCCCAAAATCGAGGCTGACTGGTGGCGTCGCTGCGAAAGCCCTCGTTTAGGTCGCAGGACGGTGGAGACTTTGCGGGACAGAAAGTGCACAGTAGTTGCCTTGTCGATTGGCAACGTCTTGGGCGCTGGAGAAGGCGGGATTCACGCAAGCGGGCATGTTGGTTCTGGATCAAAAGCTTCGCAATCAGAGTGCGACATCAAAATGGTAGCAAGCTTCCGAGTCCAGCCATGATGGGCATTTTGGACTCTGGCTATGTGGGGCCAAGCTGCGGCCGTCTCGTGAGTGATCGTCTCCAATTCATCCCGCCAAGCTGTTACCGGGCCGAAACCATGGGTGGTGCTTAATTTTCTTTCGATGGAATTTTGAAAAGAAAGTATGAGATATTTCATTGTGGATATTATTAATCGGAAACTTGCCCATTATTCCAGGTCCCGAAGTCATTCTCCGGTATTACCTTTGGCTGATATGGCTCTAGATTTCGGGATAATGAGCGCCACATGGCCACTTCAGGAACGCGGTGGTTGTCAGAGCAATGCAATCCAAGCATCGCCCGATGTGTCCACAACCATGATTCCTGCGCTGAAGCTGTTAACCCAGTGAACAGTGAATGATGGGTAGGTCCTCGTCATATGCAGCCGGACATGTGATTCTGCAACACGACAGGCCACAGGCCACAGACCACAGGTCGGTCAGAGGCAGTCGTATCACGCCCAATCCTCATGCCCATCGATTGCTGTCTAAGGATCCACCCTATAGCCTCACAACACCGCATCTAAAAAAAAAACCCCTTCAAGTACGGAGTACTACAGCCAATAACCTCAGGATGAAGTGCTGCAAAGCTGGTAGGGAAGGTAGGAAATTGTCTTTATTGTCGAACCCATGGCCATGCCACCCTCAACCACCCTTTTTTGCTTGGCACATTCTGCATGCATGGGGGACGCAAACCTTCGTATCGCCTTCGTGTTTGGGTGCACTAGCATGCGCGGAGGAGGATCAAGCTGGCATTAGCTTTGATCGAGAGCAAAATCCTCCGTACCCGATACATGCCTGCATTTGTAGCTGGCTTTGCAAAACAACAGCAGCAGTGCCTGATTATCACGCCACGGCATCAATCTGACGCCCGACACAATCCAGCATCTGACAATTAGCCCGTACGGAGTCAAGTGCATATGGATGATAGCTCCGTGCCGCCACCCCCTCATGGCTTTTGTCCCATCGACTGCAACCAGGGGCTTTATAACCATCGAAGCTTTACCCCACAATGCAGCCACGTTACTCAACAAGCTTCCTTTATGCAAACGGCTGCCCACGGCTGTCGAGTTTCGTGTTGCCATCGTGCTGTAGGATTGCCCGTCATTGCATGCGTGGTGGTTGAGATGTTGCGAGTTTGCCTCCGCCGGGTTCGTCCGGGCGCCTCTGCGGGAACGTCGCCTCTCGTATTCCTCACTTGTGACTCGTGACTCGACAAGAATGCATCAAGGCCAGCGAACCGTACGATGAATGATACGGAAGAATAGGCCCGGTGCTCGCTCCCTCGGCATTTGCCTCACCCATCCTGCATCCTAGATCTGCCTAGCACTATTGGTGCTATCAACGCAGGGAATACGATGTGCAGTTCGACAAAGCCCCAGATCCAAGCTGTCAACTCATTGTGTAAGCCCCGAGCCATGACTATAACTGGTGTGACTGGGGCCGTTGGGGGGAAAGCTCGTACTGGCAACCGTTTGGCCTCCACAAAGGAACGCCGCTATCCCAAGAAAAGGAGCTCCACGAACGGGTCTCTTTAGATTCCAGACACAACCACAATCACCTCGCCGCCGGATCCGAGGATAGTGCTGAAACGAACGTAACCATACTCCGTAGACGAGGGGGGGGGATGCAAATTGGCTTGATGAGCGAGGACTGTGCTGTGACACAAAGCTTCCTGAGCAGTGATTATCAAGTGGCAGAAACCATCTAGGAACATTGAATGGAACACGGAGTAGCAGCTTCGTCGTCGGCGTTGCAGTACAAGTCAGACCTTGATCCGCAGGGACCTGTGGATTGCGTTGTCATGGGTCACCCCGGACACTGACACAGAGTGACACCTTAGTCCTTTTTTGTGCTTCTAAAGTTGGGCTGCGCATGTTGCCGATGCACCTTTGTCTGTTGGAATGAATGCATGTTTGGGATTGACTGCCTCTGCTTGTTGACAGAGGGCACTCAGCTGATGGTCTCAATGGTTCGGATTAAAAAAGCGCAACTCTGCGTCTCCAATAGCTCACCGGGCTTCTCAAATTCTCAAAGCTTCAAACTTCTAATAAAGTTCGAATATTGCAGGTCTTGCCCGTCCCCCAATTATCCTTGCCATCCTTGCCATCCTTGCCATCCTTGTCCATCCTTGTCCATCCTAGCCCATCCTTATCCACCCCCCGGTCAATCGGACTGGTCCGTGGCACGTCCTCACCACGGGCTCGACCAGTTGATTGATTCCATTGACCATAATTACCCCGTTGCGTCTGCTCGCCTTCAAATTGTCTTCTCCTCCTTTTCCATGTTGCCTTCGTTCGCTTAACCGTCGCTGTACCCTTTTGCTTCTCGGAATCACGTCGTTGGTTTCTTTCTAGCCCTTCGCTTTATTGTCCTTCGCTGTTGGCATTTTGCATTTTCAGTCGTCTCTGCAGAGTACTCCGTACCTGGTACATAATTTAATTGTAAGGAAGGAGCTCCTGTTCTAAACCCGCTTGATAGCTTGGCCTGTCTAGCACCTCGTGCTGGTATGGTCTGTTTGCTCTCATATCTTCGGTGCCGCTGATGGCTTCAATATTGCTCTGCCAGAGACGACACTTTTTTTTGCTTTTATAATACATCACTGCCATCTACATTGTTTATCAGATGCTTACTGAATACTTTTCCAGGTCACCGTGTTCTGGTCATCGATTTATTCATCCACATACGAAATCAGACGAAACGATGCCTTCGTTCCGAACCGTCTTCATGGCTGTGGCCGTCTCATTCTCAGCTGTTGCCAACGCCGATTATACCATCGACCCCGACAGCGTACCCATCACCACTAGAAGTGAGCAGGAGCCAGTATTTCCGCTGCTGGGCTGCCGATGAAGCTAACTCTTGCAACAGAGTCTTGGTGTGATCAGGAAATGACTACATGCCCCCTCATCTGCCAACAGATGGAACCTAGGACCACCATTGATAACTCTTGTGATCCTGTGAGTTAACCCATCTACGACGTTGATCCACTCTCGGGCTCCGAATTTGACATTCTGACTTTTTTTTTGTACAGGAGTCTCTCACGTATGGCTGCCTATGTGGCAATAACCTACAGCCAAACCTTTCGGAGTACTCGCTGAGTTTGCCCTACTTCATTTGCACACAGTGGGTCATCCAATGCAAAGATGCTTGCTCTACAGACGCTTGCAAGTCCGACTGCCAGCAAAAGCACCTCTGTGGTGCCCAGCATCCTACCAAGCCCAACGCGACCAAGACTGCTGGTGCCTCTGCCACCTCGACGGAAAACCCGAACACAATCTACACAGACGCACCCGGGGGCGGCAGTAACAATGGAAAGAAGGGCGCTGGCGCAGCGCTCGAGGTTGGTCGTACATATGGACTGGCTATCGTCTTGACCAGTCTCTTTGCTGGATTTGCCCTTTTGTGAGGGATAAGACTGATAATATTCACGAGATGGGAGACATGGAGTGCTAGCTTGTTGGTGGAATTGCATACGACCTGTCTGGGGAAGATTCTGGGCAGTCAGGAGCTTGGGTGTTAATTCTTTCGCATCTATTATGCTGGACAGCAAGTGTCTGGTCTTACATTTTACATGCCTCGGGTATGGAAGATATTAATATAATACTAGCCTATATAGTGTTCTGGATTTGGTTGAGAATGTCATTGTCGATTTCGATGGAAAACATGGCGTCTACGGCAGTTCTAATCTAGCGCTGCACCACTAATATTACAATGTACTACTGTCTGCGGCAGAATATATTTGCCTACCAAGAAGTATACACTAATATGTTATAACATGGTGTGTGTGAGCCAGGTACCTGACCTGGTTTTATACATTTTGTCTCCAGCTGATTTGTCGGACTCTGACAGTGACCGAGATGTAGATTCGCGAGGTCTAGAAGGTAGAAGGAGATACTCGCAGTCGTCTTGCAGCTCACCTAATGGCCATTTCCACTTCTGTCGAACCAGACACAGGGCATCTAAAGCTCCTTATGGTCGACAAGGAAACGGGTATTCGCTCCAGAAACCATACCTTTCGACTTAAAGAGACTACCGCAGAGCTCCGCATCTCGTATATATGGGATTGGCGAGGACTTCACGACTTCGGCGGCATTTTTGCTTATAAAGTCAAGTGATGCCTTCTCAATATCCGCTGCATAACGTCAGGACTAGAATTGCTCTATTATATGGCTATACGTGCTTCCAAATGATCAATGCGAGGCGTTGAGGTGCTCAGGTGCCGACGAGGCTTCAATTGCTGTTGACAGAGGCGGAGTCAGGGGCGGCTGTGGTAGCCAGTCGTTTGGTATCTGCACATTCCGATCCCGCAACAGCCGTAAAAGGGCCAGAGTGAGCAAGTGCGCTGAAAGGTGAATACTGTCACGTAGAGCTGTTGGGAGGGGACAATTGGTTGCTTGAAGGGCAGCTGTAAAGCCACGAGTTTGCATCGGACTTCCCCACGACGACTCCACCGGCAGGGTCTTGGGAGTTCCCGAGGTTCAAAGGTGGGCCGTCTGCGGCCATCTGCAGGCATGTAGTGCTCAACGCCACTTGCATGTCGGCCGCAATGGTGCATCTCAACGAAAAAAAAAAAAGGATCCAATCAGGGGCGGCGGAAGTGTATTAGTCCCAGCCAGCTTTTTTGCAGATGAGCACGCGCAAGCGGCACACGATCAGAAGCGGCTTGGAGCGGGAAGAGTGCACAAGAGGCATTTAAGAGATGGACGAGTGTTTGTGTTTTTTGTTCTTTTTGCTAAGTATTCTATGTTGTTATGACGTGGGTGGTTTGAAGTCAATGACTGAACCACAATAAGCAGCTTGTGGCTCAACGGCTTGTTGACGACGCACACAAAAAAAGAGGACCCCTGCTCTCCTGTTGCCCTCGGTCCGTCTCCCTTCCCTTCCTCTCTGCCTTTGTTAGCCCAGTCTGCTTTGTCTTTTGATCCCCGCCTCCTGGTCGATTGGTGTACCAGTTGGCGTCGTGCTTAAAGACGTGCATCACAACCTGCATGCAAGGACCAGTCACGCTTGTTTGTCGAGCACGCAGGCACCGCAGACCTGCATCTCACCGGTACAGACGCGCAAAAGGGCACGGGCTAGTTCTCAAAGGAAGAGGGAGAAAATAGGTACATATACTTGTTCCATCCACCCGCCCCTCCACCGCCTCTCCCGCCGAGCTGCTTGC